AAATTAAAATAAATTATTAACACTAATTATTTAAACCTAACAACTAAACGAATATAACAAAATCAGCAGTTAAATTCCCAATTCCCCAAGAAACGTGGTGTTCTTTAATGTCTGTTCACACATTTAAACAACAACAAAAACAAACTTATTACTCACAGGTCTAATTTTGAAGTCTTATATTTGAGCATTGGCACTAACTACACTTCCATCAATTGTCTATAAATGATCTCCTCTCAACCATTACTAAATTATTAATTTTCAATATGATCTGCATACATGCACTTCTCTACCATGAACAGAGCTCACTATTTTTATGTTTCCAGCTAGCGAGTCAAAATCTGAATGTTTGTTTATTCTTCCCTCTTGAGCAGTATATTTAATGCCATAAAAACATTGTTGGCTTGACCTCGTGAATTTCCGCCTTTTATACATTCCTGCCCAAGTCTTCACCCTGCAATCACCGCCCCTTGCCACCCAGTAACCAATGCCACCATTATGTCCTTGTGCAATCTTCATTGTTCAACATCCTTTTATTAAATAAATCACATTGTGATCAGCCACATACCTTAGCCATAAAAACCTTTTTTGCATGCCTATTTTAGGTAAAATAAATGCCTGAACATCCACGCTCTAGTTAAGACAGTATTAAATTTAATGAGCAATATGCAAAATTTTACACTATTTTTACAATTCTCACCTGCTTGCCTTCAGTAGTCAAAAGTTTGCCTTTGTACACAGATCCGAACTCGCCTTCTCCCAAGACTTGTCCCAACACCAATGCTTCACGGGAAATGAAATCCGATGGGGTAGAACGAGTCTCTGGAAGAAGGGGAATGGGTGGGATAGGTGGCACACGTAAGGAGCAAGGCACAGGAGGTGATTCTGTATTATGGTTCCTGTCAAGCTGACTGTTGTTGTTGGCGGCATTTGATGTAAGAGAGCCACGACGACTATGAGAAGGAGACACTCCAGCACTAGAGGCAGGAGAAACAGGACTGCGGTTCGGAGAACGTCGAAGAGCATGACGACTGGGCAAAGTTGACGACTAAAAAGAACAAGAAAATGTATGTAAAAATTTACTGAAAGAATATCAGTATTTGTCCATACAAATTTATTTTTATTTTACAAATACTAATACTAAAAATTTTAA